CCCTTTTTTTCCCCCGCATCCCCCCCTGACCGCCTCCCCGTGGCCCCCAGGCCAGCCCCAGCCCCAGCCCGGTGGGCTACAGCCCGATGACGCCGGGGGCGCCGTCGCCGGGGGGCTACAACCCCCACACGCCGGGCTCAGGCATCGAGGCCAGCGCGGGCGACTGGGTGACCACGGACATCCAGGTGAAGGTGCGGGACTCGTACCTGGACAGCGCCGCCGTGGGGCAGACCGGCGTCATCCGCAGCGTCACGGTACCGGGCCGGGGGCTGCGGGGGGCTGGGGGGGCATTGGGGGGGTCTGAGGGGGCTTGGGAGGGGATTGGGGGGACTTGGGAAGGGGTTTTGGGGCTCTGAGGGGTTTGGGTGGTTCACAGGGAGTTCACGGGGGGCTTGCGGGGGTTCACAGGGGGTCTGGGGGCTGAGTAAGGGGTTTGGGATGGGTTTGGGGGGATTTGGGAATGGTTTTGGTGGGTCTGAGGGGTTGGGGATTTGGGAGGGGGTTTGGGGAGACTGAGGGAGTTTTGGGGGGATTTTTGGGGGATTCCTGGGGGGATTTTGGGGGGATTTCTGGGCACTTTGGGGCGCTGGCTGAGCCCGGCCCGCAGGGCGGGATGTGCTCCGTGTACCTGAAGGACAGCGAGAAGGTCGTGAGCGTGTCCAGCGAGCACCTGGAGCCCGTCACGCCCACCAAGAGCAACAAGGTGGGACCCCGGCACACCTGGGAGCCCAAAAACACTGCTGGGGACCCCCAAATACACCTGGGAGCCCAAAAACCACAGCTGGGGACCACCAAATCACCCCTGGGAGCCCAAAAACCACAGCTGGGGACCCCCAAATCATCCCAAACCCCTCTGGGACCCTCCAGAACTGTCCCAAACCCCTCTGGACCCCCCAGGACTGTCCCAAGCCCCTCTGAGACCACCTAAGACCCCCTGAAACCCCTCTGGGACTCCCCCAAACCCCACTGGGACCCCCCAGGATCCTCCCAAACCCCTTTCGGAACCCCCAAAGCCCCTCTAGAACCCCTCAGGATCCCTCCGAACCCCTCGGGGAACCCCCAGGATTCCCCCCAAGCCCCTCTGGGACCCCCCGAACGCCCTGTGCCCCGCAGGTGAAGGTGATCCTGGGCGAGGACCGCGAGGCCACCGGGATCCTGCTGAGCATCGACGGCGAGGACGGCATCGTGCGCATGGACCTGGAGGAGCAGCTCAAGATCCTCAACCTGCGCTTCCTGGGCAAGCTGCTGGAGGCCTGAGCTGGCCGGGGGCTTCTGGCCCGGGTCTGACCCGGGTCCGACCCATTTCCTCCTTTCTGACCTGGTTCCGACCCGTTTTCCCCTCTCTGACCCAGGTCTGACCTGTTTCTGACTCAGTTCTGGCCCGTTCCCCCTTTCTGACCCGGGTCTGACCTGTTTTCCCCTTTCTGACCCGGATCCAACCCGTTTCCCCTGTTCTGACCCAGGTCTGACCCGTTTCTGACCCGGGTCTGACCCGGTTCCCCCCTTTTTTGTTCAATTTCTGCTCTTTTCTGTTCCTTTTCTACCCCTGTTCTGCCCCCATGTGCACCCCATTTCTGCCCCATTTTCTCCCTTTTCTGCCCCATTTCTGCCCACTTCCACCCCATTTCCAGCCCATTTTCCCCCTTTTCCGCCCTATTTCCAACTTATTTTCATTTGCACCCCATTTCTGCCCCATTTCTGCTCCCGTTCTGCCCTATTTCCCTTGTTCTGCCCTATTTCCCTTGTTCTGCCCCATTTCTGCCCCATTTTTGCCCATTTTATCAATTTTATGCCCATTTCTGCCCTTTTTGCCCATTTCTACAGGTTCTTTTGCCCTGTTTCTACCCGTTTTCCCCCATTTCTGCCTTTTTTTACCAATTTTTGGCCCATTTCCCTCCCGTTTAACCCCTTGGTTGCTGTGGCCGGTTTTGCTGTCCAATAAAGAGCTGAGGGGGGGGAGACCCCTCCCCAAAAAGGGGCACAGAGATGATTTTGGGGAAATTCGGGCTGGTTTTGGGAAATTTGGCTGGTTCTGGGGCGAGTTTTGGTGCGAATTTTGGGGGGTTTGGGGCCAGTTTTGGGACAGGTTTTGGAGCCCTTTCTGGGGCAAATTATGGAGGGTTTGGGGCTGGTTTACAAGCCTGTTTTGGGGGCAATTTGTGCTGGTTTCGGGGCCCTTTTTGGGGCCAGTTTTAAAGGGTTTGGGGCTGGTTTTGGGACAAGTTTTGGGGGTTTTGGGGCTGGTTTTGGGGCGAGTTTCAGGGCCAGTTTTGGAGCCAGTTTTGGAGGGTTTGGGGCTGGTTTTGGGGGAAATTTGCATTGGTTTCCAGGCCCTTTTTGGGGCCAGTTTTAGGGGCTTTGGGGCCGGTTTTGGGACAAGTTTTGGGGCTGGTTTCAGGGCCCATTTTGGGGCCAGTTTTGGAGGGTTTGGGGCCGGTTTTGGTGGAAATTGGAGTCGGTTTCTAGGCCCTTTTTGGGTGAAAATTTAGGGGCTTTGGGGCCGGTTTCAGGGCCCATTATGGGGCCAGTTTTGGGGGTTTTGGGGCCGGTTAACGGGTCGCGCCCCCGCCAATGAGCCGGGCGCGGCTCCACGTGTTCCCCGGCTTCGCGCCCCTTCCGCCAGCGCTTGCTCTGATTGGCTGCCGCGCCGCTAGCCCCGCCTCCCCCTCGCTACCATTGGCCGCCCGCCTCGCCGCCATTGGCTAAGCAGCGCTCCGTCCCGCCCTCCTCCCGCAAGCTTCACCTCTGATTGGCTCTCCCCTCCCCTCCCGCGCGGATCCCATTGGCTGCCGTTCCCGCGCCGGCGCTTTGCCGTACAGCAACATGGCGGCGTCCGCGGCGGGGCGAGCGGCGGCCTGGGGGCTCCGCGGGGCGCTGGCGGCGCGGCGGGGCCGGGCCGCGACCCCCGGGACCCCCGGGCCGCCCCCCGGGGCCGCCGCCGGGCCCCGCCGCGCCGCCAGCGGCCCCGCCGCGGGCTCCGACACGGCCGCGGTGCTGCGGGAGCAGCTGCGGCAGCGCCAGGTGGGGGCACGGCCATGGCGGCGGGGGCGGGGGGCGGGCCCGGGGGGTCCCCCTCGGCCCCGCGGCTGCCGCCGAGAGTTCCGCGGGTGTGCGCGGGCGTCCCCAGGTGTCTCCAGGTGTCCCACACCGTCCCCGGGTGTCCCCAGGTGTCTCCAGGTGTCCCACACCGTCCCCGGGTGTCCCCCGAGTGTCCCCAGGCCTCACCTGTCCGCAGGTGACTGGGGACACCCCGCAGGTGTCGCCGCCCTGATGAGTCCCCCCGGTGTCCCCTCGGTGTCCCCCTGTCCCTGACGTGTCCCCCTCTTGTCCTTGCTGTCCCGAACTTGTCCCCCCGTGCCCCTCACCTGTCCCTGTCCCGCAGGTGCCCGGTGGCACGGGTGGCACCGCTGTCCCCCCGTGCCCCTCACCTGTCCCTGTCCCGCAGGTGCCCGGTGACACGGGTGGCACGGGTGACGCGGGTGACGCCGGTGCCAGCCCCGGCCCCCGGTCCCGGGGGTCTCTGCGGGCGCTGGCGCTGCGCCTGGGGGGGGTCCTGGCGGCCACCGGCGGCGCCGCCGTGCTCTACGTGTTCGGTGGGTGTCCCTGGGTGACACCGGGTGTCCCCAAATGTCCCTGGGTGCCACCGGGTGTCCCCAAATGTCCCTGGGTGTCACAGGGTGTCTCTGGGTGTCCCTGAGTGTCCCCTGGGTGTCCCCGGGTGCCACCGGGTGTCCCCAAATGTCCCTGGGTGTCCCCTGGGTGTCCCTGAGTGTCCCCTGGGTGTCCCCGGGTGCCACTGGGTGTCCCCAAATGTCCCTGGGTGTCCCCTGGGTGTCCCCGGGTGCCACCGGGTGTCCCCAAATGTCCCTGGGTGTCCCCTGGGTGTCCCCGGGTGCCACCGGGTGTCCCCAAATGTCCCTGGGTGTCACAGGGTGTATCTGGGTGTCCCTGAGTGTCCCCTGGGTG